AGAAAGGGGTTTGGGGATAAAATCCTTGTGCCGCTCATTTCTGTTAGAATCATAGTAGGTTATTTAATGAATAATGCTGAAAACTACACGTTCATTGTTAGGTTCCTGAAGAAATGCACCACCGAGATGGATGGCAGCATTTGACATCCCCTGAGGTATTTTTCGCAGGGTTCTGCAGACCTGGGCATGGGGGATTTTACCAGCTACAGTGTGTTCACAGGGGAGATGTCTTGTTTAGAAATCTGAGATGGAATTTTATTTCAGCTACATTTTTCTTAAATGATGAAAGACTGGTGGTTGTTTGTCTGGGGTGTTTTTTGCATGCGAGAACTGCATCATGTTTCATGTCCCCAGAATATCAGGGTACCTGTTTAACTGCGGCAAAAAGAAATGTACCTCCAAAACACTCAAGACAAAAATCCTGAGCATCCAGCATCTGGGCCCCAAGGGCACCCACAGGCCTGGCTGTCCCTGCCTGCCCCTGGTCTTCGCCCACCTGCCCACAGCCCATGTCAGCCCCCCACAGCCATCAGCCCCTGGCCCAGTGACACCACAGCAGGGCCGGTCTCCAGCTCCCCATAGCAGACCCACGTCCTGGCCCATCCCCAGGGAGATGCCCGGTACCTGGGGCTGCCCCGGTGCCCCCAGTGCCGCCCTCAGTTCAGAAGAAAACCGAACATGTCCAGATAATGAGAGGGAAAAACAGTTACCATAGTGTATGTTAAGCCCGTAAGCAAAGGACCGCAAGGGATGTTTGATCCCTGATTGATTTATAAATTGTTTTGCTGGCAGCAGCCGCAGAGACCCTTTCTGTGCAAACCTCGCCAGGCTAGGCACGAGGTCCTCCCTCAGGCACCGAGCCCGGCATTAGTTCGGGCCCCACATGCCCTTCCCTGGAGCCAGGACGCTGGGGCACCGGCAAAAACCGGGCACAAGGCAGCTGTGGCAGCCGCCACGGCCCCGGCAAGCCCAGGGAGGGAAGCCCCACACACTCAGCCTGCTTGTTGAGATGTTTCTTTCCAGTTAACACGGCAGCTGCTGAGCAGCAACACTGGGACTGTGCTTTGCCAATAGCTTTTGCCCGTGTGTTTATGCCCTCTGTACGTCAAGAGGATAGTTTATATACAATGATATAAACGGGCAGAGCATCCCCAAACAGACAGATGCGCATTAACTGTCCACCACCACAGCTACAAGCCCTGCATAAACAGACACTCTTATTCCTTTTCAGCAGGACTGACTGATGGAAATGGCCCCGTCCCCACCAGCTACCGTGAAACAGGGGAGGGGAGAGCCTGCCTGTGTTCCAGGACCCCCTGCCCCTGCCTGCGCATCGGTTTGTGCCCGGCACCCCAGCCAAGGATCTCTGTAGACACACGCTTTTTCCAACAGATGGGATCCACAAAGGAGTGCCGGCAGCCCAGTGACAACCAACCGTGGACAAAAATTAAGGCAAATCCCTGAAGCAGAGAGTTTTCAGGAGGAATCCCTATTTGTCCAGACCTTTTTTTTTTTTATCGCCCCAACACAGAAGCAGCTACAAGAAGATAGGAGCATTTTTTTGCAGTTGCCAAGGTGAAAGAAGAGGAAGTAGCTAAGATGTGGTTTTAGGTATTCGCTTTGTTGAAAAATAATTTTCTTCTGTCAGGGGCTCCGTTGTGACACAAATCCCCTGGCTTAAAAATTTCCCAAAAGGGCTCTGTGGAAGGAAAAAATGCATGAAACCCCTCTACCCCTCAACAGATGTTTGAAAGGCTTTTTTGGAAGAGAGTCACTCCAAAAGAAGAAACACATTTGACCTACAGACTGAGCACTTGGGGTTCTGCTTTGCCATCTTTTACTTGCTTCTGAGCACTCGATGCTTCAGCTGAGGCAGGTCCAGGTCTCCTGTTACTCCTGTGCAATGCCAAGGGCATTACCGGGAAGCCAAAAAGAGTGGCCCAACCCTTGGTGAAGGGCTGGCAGGACACAGCAGAAGGTACATGTCTGCTCTGCAGTGCTCTTGTGCCCTCTGGCATGGTGGGTGAACCGCGTGCCAGTCCAGCCCCACAGAGTAATTCAGAGTATTATAAAATGTGAGCTGGAGAACCGCTGGCCCAGAACAGAAGAGAGACACTACCAGTACATGGCAAGGGTGAACATTTCAGCTGGAGCATTCCTTTTCTCAGCAGAGGGAGAACTGCTCGTACAGGCTCCCTGCTCCCCAAAAAACTCTCCAGGAGGGCCAGGTCCACTTTCTCATCACTAACACATAAGCTTAGGGCTATTTTATCTTTAATGAGTAATAGGGTTACATCTTAGTACACTATTTACAACTCACATGCATTTGTAGTTGTGCATACATTTTTACCTCATACCTGTTAGCCCTTTATCACACTATATTGACTGAGGAATATCTTTACTCCTCAGCACTGGCTTAACCAATCACATTTTTAACCATAAGCTTTATATCAAGGCCTTATTCTGCCTCAATGGCAAAACATTCTCTTCTGACTGCAGGTTTTTCATAACTACCTACATTTAAACTGCTACACTACAGGCCTATCCTCTGGATCCAACATCCCATTCACACCTAAAGCATTTGGAATTACTAACCCATGTGCTGTTGTAAGCATTGCTGTCTTTATAACATTGCCACGACATTCTACCAAACAGAATGGAAACTGAAGCACAGTTGGAAAAGTTGACCTTTCTGCTATATCAAAAGACAAAATTTAATGGAATGATATCTGGACAATGAGTTTAGACTATCTTCTTGCAGGATGTTACTAGTCTAACTAAAGTTGGTTGAAAAGAAAAAGAAAAAAAAAGAAACCTTTCTATATTCTTTTTCAATCATGTGTTCAAACTAAGATTTTTTTTTTTTTGATCAACAGTAAGGTATCTGTACATATGAATTGACCATATGCATAATTCATACTCTGAACCTCTCACAGTTCTAGAGACCTGATCCACATAAGAAAGTTGCAGTGATTTAACCAAAGAATGGTTTTTAAATTGACTCTATGGACAAAGTAATACGCATAGTCATTTGCATTCCTTTGATTTATCAAATAAACATATTTCAGCTAAGAGAAATAAATCGTTTGACATCATGTCTGGAAAATACTTAATCAAAATGGCTTTTTAAAAGTCCAAGTAAAATGGGTGCAACTTCTGTTTGTAGATTAGTTTCTATGCATTAGACTCCCCCTTCCTGTGCATGCAGCTTAGCTGGTTTTCATATGAAGAATGTGGTTGTACATTTTAAAAATTAGCAATCTCTATTTAGTTTTTTTAATCCATGTATTTTAAAGTGCTTTAAAAAAGATAAGTAGTTATCATGTGGTTAAAAATTCACAGGAAAATTCAAATGAATCAGGGACAATAATGCATCAAAAGCCAGTGACACTCGGTGCTTTTCAAAATATTACTCAAGGAAAAATCAGGGATAGGGAGATGAAGTAGAATTACCCAAAGTAACATGGTAGGCTGACAGCAGAGCCTGGAACTGAAATCAAATGTTCCAATTCCCAGTCCAATGCACATGTTTACTAGATGTTATTTCTACCTCATCAAGGTTAACTAAAAGCACTGACTGAAGAGTTAAAACTAATCAAAAAGTAAAGCAAATAAACAAACAAAAAACCTTCCCAATTCTAATTCAAGAGGCTGCTCAGAAAGCCTTTGTGTGAGTGAGAACATGTCCCTTTCTATTCCAGAAGCTGCTTTATCTTCAAAACAATAACTGCCAGATTTGATTTCAGTTACTGTCTTGAAAATGCAGAATTCCTCCACCAAACTTAGTGGCATTAAACCACATACACCTAGACACAAGATCAACAGTTAGGCAGAGAGGTTTCACATGGTATACACCATATCTACAGTATGGGCAACACATGGAGCACAGACAGACTTGCCAAAACTCAGCATATTTCCAAAACTAATAGAAAAAGAAAGAGGATTTTACATGGCTGGGAAAGAATCCTCAAATGAAAAAAAAAAAAAAAAGCCACTTTTTTAAGCTGCAGAAGTGTACTGAAGGTGAGTTATATTTTATTTAATTAAAATATATTTTAAAAACATACTGTGTAAAAGAATTAGGATTCTCAATAATTTATTATTTACATTAGCAAATTCCGTTTGACTGTTATTCTGTAGATAGAAATGAAAAGTCTGCAGAAGGGAGTTGTATCAACTTCTTCAGGACCAAGCAAGCCCCTTTACCAAGAAACAAGTCCAAAATGCATTCCTTCCCATTTCGATCCCTTCAAATTCATGTTTGCAAACAGATCGCAAAAAGCTCAATGCAAGGTCACATTGGCTAGTGTTGAGCACTCTGCAAGAGAGAGAGCCCGAGGAGATTTTAATGTTGCACTTCTCAGTGGTCAAGAGGCTGCATGGTCCAATCCCACTCTTGCTCCCACTATCCTACCTCCACCGAAATCCATGGCATTTCATGACAACGAGGCCTGCACCTGGCCCTGCAGGCAGATCTTGGAAAGCTAGACAGACTCCTTGAGCCAGGCTGGCAGTAGAGAGAGTGTTTTTCCTACCACTGTAGACACACTGTAGCTTATCATTCTTTTTCAGTCCAAACAGAACATAAATCTCATTGTCTTCCTCCCCATCCTCTGGAGAGAAATATGCATAGGGAATTATCTCTCTGATGTAAACAACTGTAAGCACCATTCACATTTGCTGGTCCACGTGAAAAAAAAATCATATCCAAGTCCCTGCCATAGCCTTGACCCTTCTTAGCAGGGCAGCTCAGCTTTCCCGCGAGCTTTCCAGATCTCTGAAATCACATGGGTACCCAAACATCATGCACAATCCGTTGCAATGCCAGCCGCTGTCTGCTTTACTATTACAGGAAAGAGTAGTCGCCTCTTCAGTGATTATGTGAAAACTCATGATTAAAAGAAGTAAAGCCGTCAGCTCATGTGTTTTGTTTCCTGGAGGCACTCAGTGGTATTTCTGACATCTCGTGTAAGGCACCAGTCATCCGGTAGCTGAGCAAAAAGTGACTCACAAGACCTCCATTAAGCAACTGCAGAGGGAACCGACAAAATTCAGCTGGTTTGCTCACCTTCTCACTTACATGGCATAAAAAGTGTGGTCACACCATCTGGGGAAGTTTCTGGTGGTATCCTAAAAGAGGAAGCCTCAGCTTGCACTGCAAGCCAAAGAGCATGGGCTACAGCACAAGTTTCCGATGGCTGCGTCAGAGTGGCAATTCCCACAGACATAGCAGAGATTTCCTTGAGCCCCAAGAGGCCTCTGCTGCCTTGCTTTCACAGAAAATGAATTTGTTGTCAACAGCAAAGCAGTCACCTCCTTACAAGATGTCTCCATAACACCCAGCGGAAGGCCAGACTACAAAACCAGCTTTGTGGTATACTTGCTGCAACTTCTCTGCTGTTGGTCTTGCCCACACAGCCTTATTCACAGAGATGCAACGCCGGAGATAGCAGAGCCTATGGACGAAGAGGTCGGCTGGATGCTGGCCGACTGCATCACTGAGCAGCCTCAGTCCAGAATATCAGTCTCAAATGGGACCAGGTGGTAGTATGTCAAATTGGTGACATAAGCTGTTGGATCATCACTGTCTTCTAGCTCTGAGGTAAAGTCACTAACACTTTCGAACCTAAGGAGAAATAAAAAAACAAAAAACACCAAAAAGCATTAAGTCATTAATGTCATTAATGTTCATTTAGGAAATCAAAGTCAAAGGAATTGGAAGAAAAGTACTGAGGAAGAGAAAGAAGGCTAGGATATCTAAAGACTGACCCCTGTAAATTTTGAGAAAAGATGTGAGGGGATTACTTGGAAAAAGGGCTGCAGGCAAGAATGCTTCCACTAGTACTGCAAGTTAAATTTCTGAGTAAATGTAATATGTGGACTTGCTTCACACCAGAGCAGTGTTGCATTAGAACCGTTTCTAATGCTGGTTTGCAGCTTAGCTTTGTGAAGCTCAGTTTGCAAGACAAAGATCTAGAGTCCCAACTCTTTTTCCAAAGTGTCAGTACCTCTCTCCCTCTCTTGGCAGCCTGAAATTTGAATTCATACTAGAAGTTGTCAAGGAATGTCCATGCAGATCAACTATGAATCATGAAGCTATAGTTTCTCTGACATCAGCCTATGTATCATTATGCTAGCATAACCTACTGGAGACACCAGCAATGGCATCTACTGTCACTTTCATAAACCAAGATTCAACGCTTCCTAGACAGAGTTGAGAGTAAATGGAAACCGTTGCTCTCCATGTCCTTAAATAAACAGAAAGCCTGTTTCTTTATAACCAATGGAAATGAATGGGCTGAAGATTCTGCTTTCAGTACACCTGGATGGCTATTCCCTTTTAGAACTGCTAAAACACAGCTGTGCAGCATACTAGGAGAGCAAGTTCTCATTTCTTTAGATAGCAGTCATCAGTAAAAGGGACTTTCATGACTCCTCTCCAGTATGACAGTGTCTCTTCACAGCACTTGTCATTATAATACCTGAACTTCATATCTCAAGACACCTGGCTACCACACTGCATTTAAGATGAGCTGGATGAAAAACATTTTTTTTGGTTTTTTTTTTTCAGGCCCCAGGCCTCCCCTCCTACTAACAAATGAATGATTTGGTGGGACACAGCCTTTCTTGTCAGGCAGTTCTGGATACCTCTACAAAGAGATTTTTATGAGTCTAGTAGAGCTTTCATTGGGGTATGGAAAATCTTCACAGAAAGTACTCAGAGCTGATCCCATCCACACGTCCTCCTCCCCACACCCATGTGTATATGAATAAACCACAGGCCAATGAGAACCATCGTGAGTGCAAGCAAATCATCGTTACCGCTGACTTTCAAAGCTGCTAGTGAGGAAGGAAGGAAGCAGCAAGTGAGCTCTGGAAGAGTGAATCCTGCAGCTGAGGTCCACATCCTTCCATTTTGTTCTCACAGCATGTGGCAACAACACGAAATGCCTCAGTTCCTACACAAAAGTGGAAAGGAAACTGCCTTTGTTTCCCGTCTGAACTTGGACTCTCACCCTTTCACTTCACAGGTACCTTCTCCGGGTTTGCCTTTTGTATGAGGCCAAACGTCCAACAGAAATAGAAAACAATGACTACAGTGTCCTTTCTCTGGAGTCCTCCCACGGCACAAGATTTAGGTTTTGACAAGAAGAGAATATCTGAATATAAAGAGATTCCTAAATTTAGTTTCATTTGTTTTGGTATTTTCCTTCCCACTTCTAACTCCTGTGTTACAACCTGAGCTTTTGCAAGAACTACCTGCTGTCTCACGCCTACTCTCAACGAGAAGGCATCAACTTGTTAAAATCTACACTTTCTTCAGTTACACATATTCTTGTTCCAAGGAGGCTTGAATTTCTGCTGTAAGAAAACATTTTACTTCTTTCCAGACAGCCTAGCAGTTAAAGGCAGTCACTGCAGGCCAAGGATTAAATCTCATTTCAGTTCAAGCAAGGGACTTGAAGAACTATCAAGTTTCTTTTTCTCACACTGTTTCTTTAAAATTTTGAAAGAACTTGCATTAATTCTGATAGAGTGAGAAAAAAATGAAATAGAAACTGAAAAATTGCACAAGATGGAAAAAGAAATCCTAGCTCTTGACTATAGGATGCGTCTTTATCAGCTTTTTAGGCTGGCATAGTTCAGCTCTCTGAATAGCAGATAAACAGATGAAGCTAGAAAATAATTTGGTTTAAAACTGCATCTCACCTACACATGAACTACTTAGACTCCTTTAGTTAAGTGAGGCAACTGCAGACATCCCTCTAACCTCACCCTAGAGAGCCCTAAGAGTCAGGTATTTCAGAGTACCTGAATAAGCGTGGTAGGGTAAACAAGCAGATAAATCTCCCACTCCCATCTCTCCCTAAAACTTTCTTTAGAAGCATCACAGATTATTGGATAGCATGGTCTATACATCCTGCAACGTATGGACACAGCTCTGTCTTTTCCACACTCCTACCTGGTCCTTCTCACCTCTTTTTTAACTGAGGACCACAACATTTTTTGAGCAGAAACTCATGGGTTTTCTCCTGCAGTGCTGTTGCTATGCTCTTTACTTACAATGAAACAGAAATGAGACTGAACTTTGAATGTTTATTACCCTCATTCCTCTACTCCCTCCAGGCTGTTTGCTTGCCTGCATGTGTGGGAACATGTGCAGAAGGGAGTTGACTTGGTATCTTGCAAACACTTCGCAGATCACATTGTGCTGTCTTACAGACTGCTAGTGATCCAGAAACAACAGATTATGAAATACCAGTGGGACAGACAGAATGAAGCAGAAGAGGAGTCAAGAAGGCTATTCAGATTCTGCTCTCCTTCTCTTGTCAATTGTATAAAACTAGATTTTTACAACTGGAAGGCCCCACAGATTTTGTGGTTCTTCAGCCTCACTGATAGGGTACTACAAGCAGTATGTGAGGTACAAAGCAGTGGCATTCACATGCTGTGGTTACACAGAAAGCTTTCCTTGCCACTAAAAAGGAAGTATGGGCACAGAAGTCTGCAAGGCACTGCTCTAGAGTGCTCATACGAAACCAAACCCAATAAACCAGGACTGTTTACCACAGCTAGCAGCTGTACAGGACACCCAACAGTCAAAATGCTTTTGTGCTGTTACCAACAGGTCTTTTTTCCAAAATAAATGCTGCAAACTACTATGGACATGCAGATTCCTAAATGCCCAAACTGCCGCCCTTGTTATTTTTCCCTCAAAGTACCTTGACAGACACACCATCCTTCACGAGGGCCTACTTCTTGTGCTGTAAGACAACCTCCTTTATCATTTTAACCTCTGTTAACCCATTAGAGTTTCTGCTCACATTCGCCAGAAGAAGAGGGAAACAAGGTACATAGAAGCTGATGCCTTGGACAGGCATACTCTTCGCTAGGTAAAAAACTGTCTGGATGGCTGGGCCCAAAGAGTGGTGGCGAATGGAGTTAAATCCAGTTGGTGACCAGTCACAAGTGGTGTTCCCTGGGGCTCAGTATGGGGGCCAGTTCTGTTTAATATCTTTATCAATGATCTGGATGAGATCAAGTGCACCTTCAGCAAGTTTGTGGATGACACCAAGTTGGGAGGGAGGGTTGATCTGCTGGAGGGTAGGAAGGCTCTATAGAGGGATCTGGACAGGCTGGATCGATGGGCTGAGGCCAATTGTATGAGGTTCAACAAGGTCAAGTGCTGGGTCCTGCACTTGGGTCACAGCAACCCCATGCAACGCTACAGGCTTGGGGAAGAGTGGCTGGAAAGCTGCCTGGTGGAAAAAGACCTGGGGGTGCTGGTCAACTGCCAGCTGAATATGAGACAGTTTAGATTGGATATTAGGAAAAATTTCTTCATGGAAAAGGTGCCAAGCACTAGAACAGGCTGCCCGGAAAAGTGATTAAGTCACCATCCCTGGCGGTATTTAAAAGATGTCTAGATGTGGTGCTCAGGGACATAGTTTAGTGGTGGACTTGGCAGTGTTAGGTTTACTCAGTTAGGTCGGACTTGATGATCTTAGAGGTCTTTTCCAACCTAAATGATTCTATGATGCTTCTCATTAACTCACAGGAGTAACCCCAGTGTAAACATGGCGTGAGGCAACAGCCCAGCTCCTCTCATCACCTTATGTACAAGCAGTACCTGAACAGATCTCCTCCCATCTAAGACTAAAAAGCACAGGGGAAGCATTTTCTTTTCCTCTCAAGAGTAGGATTTTGTTTTCCTGGAAAAATGCTGTATCTAATTTTACCATCTCTGTGCTGCTTTTGCATCACTACCTGTAGAGAGTCTCTCCCATGGACCACAAGATGCTTGTGACAATGGTAGCACTGTCCAGAAAACGCACAACTAGTACTGGAGTGAATTTGCCAAAAAGGCAGCAGGTCCAATGCCACAGCTTCTGCTGCTGGCCTAAAAGACTAAAGTGCAAACAGTCCTGGCAGGGGAAGGCACCTCTGTAATAAAACCAAAGCATAAGCTAGAATGCATTTATTTACCATCTTTCCTTTCAAAAGGACTGCAGAGTATTCCAAGAACCATGTATAAAAGGACTATTTATGCCACATGGATGCTGAGGACACTGGGTTCACCACATTTTGCAATAGTATGGTGTACTGCCAGCTCGAATTAGAGAGAAAATGAAGGAAGCAGAAAGCAAATACTTCAGAGTAAGCAACTCCAACTTGCAAAAATGCTATAGTTTCTTTTGCAACAAGTATGAGTCTTTTCAGCTGTTGGACCACTGGGTAGGTAGCACTGCAGGCTACAACAGCTAACCAGTGCAGTGGGACCTTGGGGAATGAATGCTACCTGCTGAAGCTCCAAGTGCTTCTATCCAAAAAATACAAGTTTTCTTCACAAAATGTCTGATTCAATTACATCAGCAGCCAAAATCCAGAAGTCATACAGAGTTTAGTGTTGGTGAAAGGAAAAAAGTTCCCATCTGAGGATATACAAGTCCACAAGGAATTAACTCTGATTTCAGAATAGAAAAGACCAATCCCATTAATCCAATTTTACAGAGACCAAAAAGGAACTGCATAGCATTTTGAAAGATTTTAAAGCATCCTTTCTGGGCTACTAACCTACATTTAAAGCAAAAGTATAGAAATGCTTTTAAAAAAAGATCAATTTTTACAAAACAGCTGTGCTACACAAGTGCCATTATCTCCTAGCTGTTACCTCTCAGCTATAAAATACAGCCACAGGATGGGCAAATTTAGGGTACCATGTAAAACAGACATTTGAAATTTATTAACTTCTTGACTCTTCGTTTAACTTTCTTCATGGAAGTTAAAATACAAATGCACAGCAGGCTGTTATCCTAGATTTATTTCTTCCACCACAGTTTCTGGGAAACCATGCCTACCATACAGTTTTTATCATATTTGTATTTTCTGGCCTTAACAGTCTCTGACTTCAATGGGATGACAGTTAGATGGTGGCAGTTTCTGATCCCAGACCAGTAAGTTTTGCTTGGGCTCCAGTACATTTTTAAAATTGAAGTTAGATTTTAATATTTTTTTTTATCAGTTTTTTTCAAATTATCAATAATGCAGGAAAAGGCTTTTTTAGTAATTTGCTCCTATTGATTTGTCACTCTCAGTACTAAAGAGTGATCTACTATGAACTATGACAACTTTAATTTCCAGACATTGGCCTTACAGAATCACCTCCAGTGTGTTGCTTCAGTCTCATTAATACAAGCTTACAAGCTTAAATGCTGTTAGCAAGGTCAAGGTTCAAAACACTAAGCGGTAAGTTAATAGAAATTAGCCTGGAGCCAGAGATACACTCCAGCCCCTGACAAAATCTTGTCAAGCTCTAAACCTTTCCACAGACTGGCAATAACCACATTTCAAATGTGGGAAGACAGAGTACTGCATTCAAAGATAAAGTCTCCATAATGCTTTTAGTATTCTGTTTCCATCATTTTGACTGCTCTAATGAAAAACTGGGTCAATGTTTCTCATTAAAAACATTTAAGTGCTTCACTACCTGAAGCTCATTGAAATATCAATCACTTGCCATGACAGAAATCTGTAGGAGCAGATTTCCATCAACACCCATCTGTCAATACAGTCGCTGACTTAAGACATACGTGAAAGGCCTCCTGGTTACAGGTCTCTGACCCCAGAATACCTACATGCATTAGGAGGCAGAATTTACAAATTAGACTAGCCTAAATTCCCTCTCCCCTAATGAAATGCACGTGCTTCACCAAGACCCAGCATGCCACAGCACCTAAGCAGCTGCTGAGCTTCCTTCGATTACGTTCAGGGGTGTGTTCCCCTCCGAGGGTGGTGTTTTGCTTCTGAAATAAAACATACCATTTATAGTAGGATATTCCATTTGTAAGGATGTTTGAGTTTCCAAATTTGGGCTCAAACCAGCTCTCATCACAGTCATGAGAGAAAGAAGAAACTCTTCTATTCTCACCTGGCAGGACCCCCATGACAACCACAGCTTTTTTTCTTCCACAGAGCACTAAGCTCCTTGGGGTCAATCATTCTCACCGACAGCCATTTTATCCATTTTAATAGGAAGAGCTGTGAAGCATTAGCAATCAGGCCCAGTAATCCTTAACAAGTCAGAATGACAGCTGTAATAGTCTTGCTCCTAGACAGAGGATAACATTTTGCTAGGGGGGGCAGGAAAGCTACAGTTTATCCAAAGCTGACAGCATTACTCATTCACACATGCCACTTACAAGTGTTCTGCTGAATCTACGTCCAGGTGCTTCTCTTTTCCATTGGGTATACTGTGGTCAATGACTATTGTTTCAGTGTTGGCTAAACAAAATCCATTTGATCGCATGATTTCTGTTGGGAGAAGAAAGAAAACAAGATGAAAATCCAAAAAAAGCTGGAAAACCACTGCATATCATATGTAATTGACACGGTTATGAACTGAGATGTGTGCGTGACATTGAAAATCTGCACATGAAAGCACGAATGAAGAGTTGGCTTCATAGCTTCTTACATCTGCAAACTGCCAGTGCTTAAGCAGTTTTATTCATATAATCAATTCATGACACAGAGCATTTGAAGCAAGGCCCACTTTTCAGCCCTGTTACTGCCAGTGGCAAAATTCCCATCACCCTTAGCAGAATGGCAGCCCATCCATATATTGCAACCTACCACTACTAAAACATAATTGTATTTTTCCTAGACAGTCCCAGGCTTAAGCCAGTTAAGCAAAAATCAAAAAGACAGGAAAAAGAAAATTAAGAGTGAGCTTCCAAGTTAATTCAACCACCATCTTTAAGTCATGTAAAGCAATACCATCTTCTACACTGCCTTCAACTCTGCTTATTTGTTTCTCACTGTGTAAGAAGCCTCCAATCCATAACAGCTAAAATTTACACCCAATTCCACTGACTTACTACCATAGGGAGAATTTATAATTAAAGAATAGTATTTGATGTGCTACTTGGAAAGGCAAACTAGGCAAGTCACAAGGATTTCTTTCAGTCACACAATCTTAGATGAAGCTAGGGCCACCACAAAATGAACATACATCTCTGTATAAATCTGCATTGACTTAAGTGGGATGACTCATGATATGCCTCTAGGTACGAGGACCCTGTGTTACAGCCTTGCATTATCAGCACAAGCAAAAGGAAATTAGTCTGTGGCAGAAAATATGGTAGGCACAAAACATACATACAGGGAATCCTCAAACAAATTTCAACTATACATACAGTTCAAGTAATGAGCAGGAGATGAGACAGGAGAAAGAAGGGAGGTAATTTTTTAAAGTGTACGTTTACAAGTTCCTACATTAAGGTAAAGCCAGAACTCACTTCCGTATTTTTCTTGAGAAAGTCATCTTTGACTTTCAGTCTATATTTTACTGCGACTCACTTTAGCAGAATATATTTGTGAGTGGTAAAAACACTGAATTCCAGCAGAATCACACTTCAGTCGTGACTCATCTTGAACCAACATTGTACTGCAGAATCAGATTTATACCATAAATTCAAATTCAGCTTTCACCTAAGAGGGCGGCCCTTTCCCGCTTCCACATCACCTTCCACTCTGAACAGGACCATGTGGGGACAGTTTGTTTTTTCAGAGAATAGAAAACATTTTTCCTTACTTTTCTAACTCTGCAAGCCATGTAGAAAGCTGCACTACGACTAACATGAATGCCACAGTGTTTTCCTAGTGTCCTTGACATGAGCTAAGAGTTACAGCGTTTCATTGCTGTGTGAACTGCTTTAGACGTTAACACTTACTGCCATCTACTGACAATGCTGCCAGACACTGAAACCATTGCCAGTGTGCAACATTCAGATGAGGAAAACGCCAATTACCATCAAATTTCCACCTATGTTCTTGAATTCTTTGCTGCAATCACTTAAATGATAAAAACTAATTACCACAAGATGCTTTTGGATAGCTGCATAGGTAGGAAAATCTTCCTCCAATTAATTAGGTATGACTCGTCTCTACCAAAATTAATTTAGAATTAAAACAAAACATGTTATTATTCAGCTAATGTGGTTTCCACAGCTCCTCTACGTGGAGGCTGGCAGGAGGGTTCCCTTTGCTGCTAGCCTCTGTCCATCAGCGAGGCACCCTCACTCCGAATTTACATTCATCTTGCCCATCTCTTTGTTGTACCCACTGTGTGACATATTCAGTCATGCACACACAGGGAACATGTGCCCTAAGGGGGCACAAACTCTCACAAAAATTATACAAAACCCTTCCAAACAGCAAAAAGTCCCAAGCCAGAGCAACACTGCAGTTTCTAAACAGTGCAATTCCGAAGACATTTATTCTTGATATTTGCCTGTTGGAAAAAGAACAAGGTATCACTGACAGCAGCCACACTTTGAAAAATTTTACAGCATATAGTTTGAGGATCCTTCATTTCATAATGGACCCACTTCGCAGGAATTTTACCTGAGGTTTCCACATTGACTCAAGACACCATCCAAACCTCCCTAGCCACAGATGGGGTGTGAGACACACACGTTGACTCCCATCTCTTGCCCCCAGGAAGCCAGACCTGCATCACCCTCCTTTGCAGTGTGGCCCCGGGGACTCCTCACAGTCCCTGTGCTGCACCGCAGCCTGGGCTCGGGGGCCCTACAAGAAGGCACCAGACCAGATGGGCTGGCAAGACCACGCTTCTCACCGAGGCTCCGCGTTACATGGTACACTTCTGAAGAGTTACTGGTGGGCTCGTAAACCATCTACCATTTAATTAAAAGAATATTTATTTAACAGAGGACTAGTTCGCTTAGAACCAGAGCTCAGGATCTATTACAAAAAATGTACCCTGTGTATAAGATCAATCCATAAGACACACTGTTTACACTTTTAGCATATTGACATGCTGACTAGCCATTAACCGATACACTGTTAGTACCTCAGAAAACTGGTACCAGTTTCATGCTAAACACTTTATGTACCTTGGAGGACTATGTAGTATTTCACTTTTATTTCACTCTCTGAAATAAACTCTTCTGGCAACACAAAAACAGCAGTTCCCATTAGGCTCACACAAGCTATTTCAGTATAGAAACACAAAGCCAGACACACCAAAAGTCCACAAACCTTTTAACAACGGTCAGTAGCAGGTGCAGAGGGGAAAGGGTGAAAGAATAGGCAAGGATAGAGTAATACTGCTCTCCATTTAGCCACTAGCAATCTGTGGTTTAGAAACCTCCTATGTCTCCACCTGTAACAGGTCTCAATGTACTTTTCCTCCACCTGCTTGTCTAATTCCTTTTTGAAGTCATTTATGCTTTCAGTTCCACCATATCGTATGACAATGAGTTCCGCTCCTTAACTTTGCTCCATATGGAAACAAAACAATATTATAACCTTTCTTTTGTTTGTTTAAAACGTGTTGTCTGTCAACGTTATTGGATAACCTATAGTTCTTGTTTCATGAGAAGTACAGGGTAATTGACCTTCTTCTATTCACAGCTTTGTAGACTTCCATCATATTCCCCAATCTGTCATCTCTTCTCAACGTTAAGTGTCCTTCTTTATTTAACCTTCTTCTCAGAGAAGCTATTCAACAATTTGAATCCTTGTCCTTTATTTGTATCCTTTTAAATTCTATTATATCGTTTCTGAGATGGAGAAACCAGAAGTGCGCACACTGCATTCAAGACGGGGTGGTGCTCCTTTCTTCTCCCCTCCTTTCCTAATAATATCTAATATTCTCACTGCTGGTTTTGCTCACTGCTTGGCACTGAGCTTCCATTTTCACAGAACTGTATCAATAGCCTCAAAATCTCCTTCCTAAGTGGTAATAGCACTTTCATATGTGACGATAGTGAGGACTGTATTTTCCCCACATCCACTTCTTTGCATTTACCAGCCTCCAATTTCAGCTGCCACTTTACTGCCTGAATGCATGTTGCATATTATGTCAAGGCTAATTCTATGTTCTATATTATAAGCAGACTATGGAGAACTATCTGCTGAATTTCTGATGGAGAAAGAATAAGGGCAACAGCAAATAAAGTAATTTTCATTTTGTAATTCTTGTGTCAAATGTAGCAAGCTAACAACTCTTACCTGATATTTTAACTGGACTTTGAAAGCTCGGCTGAATCTTATGGACGTTGTCATTTTTTAGAACTTGGTCCAAAGGAGATCTCTCAAAGAATGTGAGGACGACTTCAGATCTTGAATACTTAAAAAAAGAAACAAGACATCTGTTTTTACCAGTAGTTTGCTTTGTCCCTCTTCTCCCTTTCCACCCCTTCGTAGTACAACAGAAATACTTATTACAAGCAACAGCCTGGAGACGTCATTACATCGTTCTGGCACTCAGCACTTTTCCAAGATACTGAATAAATTGCTGCTTCTTTTAGAGTTTGGCAAAGCCCATCCCTTTCTGATCTGCATGAGAGTGCATGTCACCATCAAGGAGGAGTCAGGCTGGGCTAAATGTGGAACTTGGCTTACTCACCTTCCAGGGCATGCTTATAATAGTCTTCAGAAGCTTTTCCACTTCATTAAGTCTGGCTTCTATATCATGGGCTTCTTTTATTGTGATGAGCCCTAGAAACAAAGTAAACAGATTGTGAGCACAGACAAAAGCACACTTCCATGTGCACACGCACTTCAGCAGCCAGAAGCAGCCACTCAAGAAGATGTGGAATGACCTCAGATATCATGCCTCCCAGAAATGTCTTTTAACTCACACTGATGATAAAGCATGTACCCCAAACTCAGGTGGGTGTAGTTACAAGCAGAGTTGCAAGCCTGACACAAATTCAGCTGTTTATGATCATATTTAGGAGTTGCCAGACAAGCAGAAGTAGAACCACCTACTCCCTCACCCACAGTTTCACTACACAGCATTCCCAGCAGCAATAATCAAACAGCCTGTTTTCTGCTTCCAAGAACCATGATTCATCCTTTTTTCCGTCAATAAAAAGCAAAATAAAAATCAAGAAAACCAAAACCCACAACCCACAGATAAGAGGAAAAGACTAAACATGAGCTAAACAAAAGGCTTTGAGGGCAGTCTTGTATTTCTCCGAATGTAAGCCCCAGTGAGTGGCCCAAGGAAGATTGTTCAGTATCATGTTCTTCAAGTGCAAAACAACCTTTTGGGATTTATTTTATTTTTTTTTAATCACCAAATTATCACAGTGCTGCAGAAGGGATTAAAATGGAAATTTTGCTGTCTGGTGTCCAGAATGGTGCATTACAATGCTTCTAATTTTGAATTGCTTGGTGTGGGGATCTTCAGCTATAATACCATATTTCGTATGTACAACCTGCAGGACATCTGTAACTTCCCTCTCCTCTGTAAGACTCAGGAAAATATTGCATAGATTATATGTACATACAGGGAATATGAGGACAAGTAAACGCCATATCTTGCATCCTTCTAGCAGCCCTTTTATTTCTGATTTTTGTAACCTACTTTTTCTAACCCAATCATCATTTCACCTCTGCATTTGGGCAGATTTTCCAAGGAACAGAATACATGTATGAAAATGAAATACCTAAGGGACTATTAAATTTAACAAGCTTCACTGGTAAAAAAGAATACAAAAAGCTGGAGGAGAAAAAGAGCCAATAAATCAAAACCATCTAAATAAAAATAAAAACTAAAAATCTGTGAAGCACTCTGTGAGAAACCACTTCAATATACTAAAATTGTAAGTGCTAAACTCTAAGTACATCTCCATCTCCCTATTCAAAAGGCAAACGTACAGAAAAGTTGTGAGACATGCACAGTGTAGGGACAACATCCACAGTTTCAGGCTGTATCAGTCCTTGTTATTTGTTACCGACAAGATATGATCCCATACAAACTTTCCAGACAAAAGTGTGACTTTGAAGCCGTCAGCTCTCCTCCAATTACAGCTCTAAATAAAAGATTGTCTCCAGAGCAACACGGTTTACTTGATGGTTGTCGCACAAAAGTAGCCTGGTTGCATAAGCCTTTCTATTGCTTGACAGTCCCTCATTTTGCCTGTTTTTGTCAGCACCACAACCACCTCACCCTGGTACAGCTCGCTCCCTCGTCTGACAGCGGAGCAGAGCACACCAGCAGGCATATAAGGAAGGCAGCCGTGTATGCTGCTCTGACCGGTGTATACTACAGTCAGGTAGATTTGCATGGAAATTCTCTGAAAGGTTGTAAATGCGAATTAACTCATCTGCATGGGTCCACAGACTGTGTATTAGCTGGGTTGTGCTTGATGTTACAAACCTGAATTGCAGACCAGCACCCTTCATCTTCCTAACTACCGGGTGTGAGCAGGCTTGGGTGGATCTGCTTCACCCCTCCACAAATATGTTCCCCTCCCACATCTGAATGAAGTTCAAACCTTTCAAAAAAAGTATTTTCATCCTCCCTAAAAAAAAGCTGCCAACGGCCCCATGGCCCAGGCACTCACCTATGATGTTAGACACACACTGTCGCCCTGCTGTAGCCCACATCAGAGAAAACAGAGCTACCTACCCTGGTGCCAGCTACCACGGGGTGCCTCCGCTTCTCCTGCTGGTCTTCCTCCAGTCTGCATAAATACTGAGACAGAGTAGAGACTGCCCGACTGCAGCTCCCACCTTGCAGGCAAACCCCTCATCACTGACCCACCCGGGATTCAGTACTCAACTGCTCTCTCTCCAATCTGCCCTCAACCTCGGACCCTTTCCCAAATAGGCATTTACTGTTGAAACTAGTATTTTACCAGGAAGAGGGATACTTTCAGACAAATTAAGATATTCAGACCAGGGGAAAACAAGGAGAAAAAAAAAAGAAAAGGAAAAAAAATACGTCACCAACAACACTGAGCATTCATTCTGTGAGGAAAACCAGCCAAGCAGTTAGGATTTTCTCTCATTAATAATCAGGGAAAGCATCTGCAGCTCCACACAGCCTTTTTATATTTCAGCAAGGGAAGTTGGACAAGGCCGTCAGCCTGTTGCACTGTCAGAGATCACCCAGTGGGAGGTTTTACAGCTTCTTGCATTCACCAGGAATTTCCAGCCCTGGTATATTCCTCCTTGCAGATCTTGGAAAGGCACCAGCCATGCAAACCCACACTCTGACTTGGAAACTGGCACAGATGACTTGTAACATCTGACACGATAAAAACCATTTCTTTCTGAACGTTTTACTAATATCAAAACCAAAAGGCAGACAGCGTAGGAAGGAGAGTAAGTGATACATCTGCCTGGATAGCTTCCTATATTCTTGCTTAATGATTACAGATCCACAGCTTTGGGATGTAAAGCTGCTGACCTTACATGAATTCCCTGTAGAGGGAATTCAGTTTGGCTGGGCTAAAGCCTTCCTTTTCATACGTCTACAGTCCAAATACACAGAAACCACTTGACTGGCTATATATATATACATATATAACCCTGTAATTTCTTCTGCAATAGCCAGAAAGTTTGTAAGGCCCTCATTTATCTTAATTCTACAAGTCTCTGTTTTTAAGAGTTAACAGATGCCCTTGCGGTTTTCAGTTAGTCGTAGCCCATGATCCCACAACCCAAGGGATTGCTCACAACCTGACAGCCACGCTAACCAGAGCAAGGCACTGCCTGCCCAAGGAGCGGGGAGGAGCAGAGGCCCCGGTCCCCCCTTTCGCCCCCTTTCAGCGCTCGCTAACTGGCTGCTGTCATCAACCACAGCACATACGTGCGTGAGGAACACTGTGGTTTAGCGAGGTGAAGTCTCCAGTGGCAACACTGGTTTAAGGTGCTCTCACCTTCCCCTGCAACTCATTTCCTCTCCCACACCGCGACTCAGGGCTGCCTCTGCTTTGCCAGAACAATTATACAAGCAGTGGGGAATACCTCGAACCGCTCTTGTCGAAGGCTTCTCCTCAGGAAACCCCAGCCTTCATAGAAGAAGCAAGAGACTGCAGGCTAGGATGCCCCATTCAAGCTCCTTTCTTAACTAGGCACTAGACTGAGTTTGAGCAGGAATCAGGACTTGTGTAAAGAAGGGTCACAGAACTGCACCCAAGCTTTCCATCTCTATTCTTCACTTTGTGGGGCCTTCTCCCCTGCCTGTCTTTTTCCTGTTCAGAAGCTTTAAAAAGGCAGAGAGAAAGAAAAAAAAACCACAAAACCCCAAAAAAGCCAGAGACTGGTATAGGACCTCCAGACGCTGGGAACGCCTGAACAAACACACGCACATGCCAGCTGACTCTGCAGACAGAGCCCAGCAACTCCACCATTCATTTACCCTGACACAAACGCACCACAAGCTGGATGCATCTGGAGTGCATGGGACTCACTGGCCACGTATGCAGCATCTGTATGGCAGCTACAGCATGTCCTGAGGCTGTTGTCTCTCTGCCCATGGACCATAAATACATTCCTATCTTTCCATCTGGGGCTTTTAGACCCCAAGAACCTTTATTCAGGGAGTTTGCTATAAAATAAAAATAAGACACCAGTAAAGCAACCAGTAGCCTGGAATCAGTCACTTGTTCGATCATGCAACAGAGCTGAGCTTAGAGCTGGGAAATCTCTTAGTGAGGTCATGGTGAAAGGCTGTTCTCATGCCTTTTCCTCTGCCCTGGCCCCGTCTGACTGCTAATGGAAAACATGCGCAAACTCCTCCCAGGAAAACTTTGCTCTCTGTTTTCTTACTCGTACTGCGCTTGGACAATTAACTATCATTTCAAGTGATTTAAATGCTATAAACACCTATGTTTATAGGGCTTGAGGTAAACTGAAGCCCCACTGGCTCCTTTTTTACCACAAACCCTGTTGCCAAATACCACAAACCTCTAAGATTTCTTTACCCTGCGCACAAGGGAGCCCACTCGCTGGGTGACAGGAGGGACGATATGGGCACACCGCCTAACCCTGGGTAGCACTCACCTGTACCAGGGATGTTTGCTTTTAGCCCGGTTCTGCTGTGTGCCCATAGTCAGCGACCTCATTCAGTCCCTTTGACATTTTCTCTGCTCCTTTCCAGACCAAGAGCCCCAGCCTGAGCCCTTAAGACTGGGTGAAAAGGATTCGCCTGCAGTTTGAGACCAAGCGTAAATAGCAACTTTCCGCATAGCAACACGTCTCTGGAAAAACACGGCACGAACAGCACCAGAGGCCTGCGGCATCCTTCCTGCTCGGGGACCCTGGTGCCGGAGCAGCTGCAGGAGGCTGAGAGCGCAGGCCAGCAGCTGCGGACCTGGCACGCTGGCTCACGGCGTGGGAGAGGGGCCCAGAGCTGCAAACGAGGAGGAAACGAGCTCCGCAGAGGAGGGGAACGCACTGGGAGCCAATTCCTGATGTCAACACGCAAGCCCTGGTGGGCCTGTCCTGCTACTGCCATGTAAGCCACCAAATCTGCAGCTGATGACATTTTGACAGCAGCAGATAACGCACTGCACGCTTCCACCTAACGAAGCAGGACAGGAATCGCAGCGTGTCCTCCATGGCTCACAATGAAATCGCAATGCAGTCCTGACGGTCAGTGTCCACAATGAGCACGTTGTCTCAACAATCCTCTAGTGCCTTCCAAGGAGGAGTAAGTTCGTGCCTAGGTCAAGTATGTCTCATATGCCATCTCTCAATGA